TGTTAATACATATGAAGATAGTTTGTTGATTACTTGAATACATTATTCAATATATACAAAAAGCGGATCCAAATAGTTTATGTCCACTGTTACTTTTTTATAACAAAGGATGGTTGAAAAACCTGTGTTTGTCTATCTAATAGTAATATGACTTTTAAATGTACTATCACATGACCAAAAATCAAACATAAATAATAAAAACAACAGCATTAAAACAATTAGAGCATGAAAATTCATTTGAAGTGTATATATAAACTGCATTATCAATGTAAATGAGATAATTCTCTGGGTTGCGATGAGTTTTATGTGTTTGTTTGCGAGAGGGAGAAAAAATATCTCTCTGGTCATTATGCGGGACTGAAATGTAATAGTCAGTTAATGGTATCTGCAAATACACTCGGTTGTATCCCTTGGTCAATGTTAAAACATTTGAGAACCTAACGAAGAACAAAACATAAATATGTAGAGCAGGAGATAGTTTTAATCTCCAATACAATCCTGAAATCGTATAAGAGAAAAGTCTTTATTAAATGACGTCACTATTTAGTTTATTCTTATTGGCCAAGTCCTTTTAGCCATTTCTTTAAACCAAGACTGAACCCTGAATTATTAATGAAAATTCAATCTTTGTCTTCGATTCGAGAAAAAAAAAGCATCTCTTTGTCAATTTCTCTCCGAAATATTTCGCATACGTTTTGATTAAAAATTATATGGCATTTGGTGACATGAATATAGATTTATTAAAATCTCAGCTTTGCCGTATTTCAAGGGCTACCTTTGTTGTTGATGTTAACGAAATATATGTCTTCAAACGTTTGTTGTAATTAAAAGTCGTTCCCTTTTACCTAAGTAAGAAATGATTGCTTCCTCCACTTATAATGACATTTTATTGTTTGCTAACACCAAACACAAACCTAGTTCAACAGAACGTAATAATGAAATAACATTAGCTCAAATTGCAAAATGCATTTTAGCAAAAACTATCACTGACCTGTTCAAACTTAACAGCAACCATGACGAACCTGATATGCGTACGACTTTGATTGTCATGCATGCTCTTAAACAGGTTTGAAATCGTAACTTTAAGAGTAGGATCATATGATAAAGATTATGTGTGTCTACTAATTGTCTTTCGAGTAAATTAGAGACCAAAAAAAACAACCGAAACGAACATTCAAGATCATAAGACATTATAAATTACCAACACCATGGCTAAAATGACCGACAAACACCAGTACACAACACAAAACATAGAAAACTCAAAACTGAGCAACACGAACCCTGTCAAAAACTGAGAGAAAAAAAAGAGTAGCTTTGATTCGAAACAGAAACTGCAACTAGCACAAAGGATGCAATACGCTTTATGTGTATATATAACAAATGCGATTGTGTTAATGAAATGTATAAGTAAAACAACTTTTTTCCAAGTTTCGAATCAGGTGTGTAGTAATGTGTTCAACTGACTGACCATGCAAACTGTGTTGTTTTAATTCTTTTTTAGTTAGAATGTTTGTGTTTATAATCAAAAATTAAATTGAGTACATAGTGACCTCAATACGTGTAAAACTTGCAACTCCAAAAACTGCGTCTTTGTCAGAACCTCCCCGTTTTGAACCAGCATGCAGACACAATTTGCCTCGATCTTTCGTAAGACACGTATACTTATGAGTGGCATCAAACTGTTATATATAAACTCATCATAGATACCAGGATAAAATTTGTATTTACGCCAGACGCGCGTTTCGTCTACAAAAGACTCACCAGTGACGCTCGAATCAAAAAAAGGCCAAAATAAAGTACGAAGTTGAAGAAGCATTGAGGACCAAAATTCCTAAAACTTTTGCCAAATACACCTAAGGTAATCTAAACACCTCTTGTATTTCAGCTAAAGTTTGAATAGATTGATAACGATGATTTGAAGATCGAACTGCCTATAAGACCAGGGGTTGAACTCATAAAACTTTGCTCAGTGCTCGGAGCACAAATATCATGCTCGAAACATGAAATCCAACATTTTGATTGGTTGATTTTGGAGTATGAGTACAAAAAACTGACTCGAAAGTTTTATGACTTTAAGGCCAGATGTTAAAGACAATTTGTAAGCTCAAAAGAATATATTTGCTTTGAGTTGAACATGATAAGACATGTGTTCATGCAAGACAAGTGAATTCGAAATGTGTAGAAACCTTAATACATATCGTGTGATGGTGGATGGAAATCATGATGTTTAAGCTCTGTGTTGAGTACCTTTTGACTACGTGGTGTGTTGCAACAGGAAAAAGGGAGTATGGAAGTTAAACCATTCATAATATAGACATAGCCAGAGAAAATGACTCAATAGAATGATAGAAGACAATTTTATGCATGCATCAGTAATTAGTAAAACTGTATTAGTGACGAGTCTCTTTAAACACAAAAGAATCGTGTAAAAGATGCAAGGATTTGGGTACGAATTGGAACATGGACATTTTAACGGTAACATGGGACATGAAGGTGGCAAAGTAAATAATAAATAGTTATCTGCATAAAACACATTAGTTTAAGTTGCATTGTATTGTTATTTTATATTCATGTGGCGAACTAAGCGAATCCTGCAGGAATAGCGGGAGCCGCTGTTTCATTGTCGAAGCCAATTTCGCTACTGATGAGTTAATCCCCTTCCTCAGGTTGTATTAGGTACTTGGTTTGTGTATTCCGAATGGATTCATATAACTTATCAATCAGTTAACTAAAGTTGCATCTAATTGAGTACATACTTTCAGAAAAAAGAATAGTAATGTCTTGTTATAAATAATAGCATTATATGCATTGCAAAAGTGAAAGTAGGTCTAGTAATCAGGTTTGTCTGTTGTCATTCTGTCCTTGTGTATGATTTTCTGGATATAAAACGTTCTCCACATTATTCTTGGGTTATGAAAAGAAATTATTTTGTATTTGGTCTTCCGATTGATACAAATTAAATACAATGTATGTATGTACATGTATCCACAATATATGCGAATAAAGACGCGGGTCAAGACAATATATAGGTCTTGTTTAGAAATAGTAAGTATTTTATTATTCAATTACTGTTTATGGAACTGTACGAATTAGACAGTACGACAATTAATGTCATTTCAGTGTTATTTGAGACAAAACAAGATAATAATACAATCGTTTGAGAACAGAACAAACCAAACAAAGCCCTTATACATTGAAAAATCCGAGAAAGATTTGCAATAATGAGATATGGTTCACAATTGTAAATGATTTCCAACATATTTAATTGCATGTGGCACCTGTCGTGTTGTTTATATGATTACAAACCCGGTAAATAGTCTTATTCGATAGGTCACATTCGTGAAAAGGGAAAGGATTGTTGATACGACATAAGGAACATATCAGATATCATCTGTGAAACGGATATTCCATAACGGTCAACCAACTCGTGATGGCATCCGCAAACTTTACGAAGAGATTATTCTAACTTCACCATTTGACACTTTTGGTGTAATAGCTATCGTGTGAGTAGCAACCCTCTATCATGGGAATCCTGATAGGAAATACAAGCCCAGGAATATCGTATCAACTGGGAGATATATACTGCTGGAATGTTGCTACATAGAAATGAAAAGTTTACAATGTGAAGGCTGAAATGATCTCTTTTGACGTAAAGTTTTGTTTTCAACCGACCTTCGTTGTCAATTTCTAAAAATAAGTCACGATATGATGAAGTTTTGAAAAGGGGTAATGAAAAAAAGTGTCGTGTGATGTGCTAATGTGATGAATATCTAACGGCTATTGTATAAATGGTAGTAAGTTATTAAAAGAGACATCATGCAGAGTTGATGATGTATAATGACGATGACCATGACTGCTTCTACGTCGAGAAGTAGAGTTGAAAAATATTATCACATTCTACGAGCTACAGGAAGGAATAAATGGTGTCGCAGTTCCAAAGTGTTGAAATATCATCGTTTTGTCGATTCAATTTGTCAATGTTTATGATTTATTGAAACTGATTGTATATGTATATATTTTGACGCTAACAGAGGTTACTAGTAATATTGTTTTATCTTTCTACAGTTTGACTGATTTGTTGGATGTTATTCTCTTTTGTGTCTCTCTTTTGGCTTCTGATACCAGTGTATCTTCTACAGTACCAATCACCAGCATAAACGTCAAAGAAGCAACCGAAATGAAATAAATAGATATCGGCTTGAGGCTTGAATCTAAAACAAATATAACATTTAAATACAATGTGATCTTTATCATATCTAATAATCGCTATTTAGATACGCGAGATGGATTTCCTAGTTATCTCAACAAATGCATGTCACGTCTTGTATCGCATTGAATATTCATACATGTATGTACTATAATGATTATCACGTAAAATGTAACAACTTTTCATTATATTGAAAACAGTTTACTGGACGATGAAACTAAATACACTTAAATAGATGATTAAATGCCATTTCGCGATTTTGGTGGCAAAAATATAATTTTGTGCACGTTGAATTCAGATTTAACTGTTGTACCCCTTGTCGGAACAATAAGCAAACAATTAATAATGATTAAGTTGTCAACTGTTGACACGTGCTTTATAATTTGTAGCTTAAGAAATTTAGCTTATCATTTCTTATACAAAATGCCTATTTAACAAACATGTACACTTACCGTTAAGTTCTCTGTTTTCTGTGGTTTTGAGTGACGGTTGTATAGTTGTATCTAAAAATAAAAAGTAATCATACAATGTTTTGTAATATTGTTAATGTTTGAACACGTATCGTATTGTTTTTTGAAGCTAGAAAAAAATACATATTACTTAATATCTAATAGTTTGCATATATTTGTATACTTGAATGACAAATAATGCTTATTAATTCGTACACAAATGTTTATCGAACAAATATGTATACCTACCGTTGTTTTTTCTGTAGTCATTCTGTTGTCTGAAAGTAAACATCCACTGCTTTTATAGCAATTGTTGTATGTGTTAGGAAATTTGTTTTGCATGCACACGTATAAAAATTGCGGTTTTTATCCAACGCAATCATAGGTTTGAACGTTGTTTTCAATTTAGACTTGTTTATATTTTTTCGTTTGGGCTTGTATTATATTTGCCGTAGGGTTTATATAATCCGTTCATCCTATTTTGACTCCTCAAAATTCAAGAGTCTATCCTAAATTGAGGTAAATTGTTGGGCTTTCCAAATACCTTTTCGATTCCTAACATCATTGAAGAGACATTATTTGTCGAAATCCGGATATGGTGTACAAAAACCTTTGCACCTTTTGTTTGCGGTATATCATCTTCTCCGCAAGTTAATTGTTTTCTGTTTAGTAGTAAATTTAAAATTAAGATCCATTTATTACATCGGTGATCCGTTTATTTGGCAATCGCCAATGGCAGTCAGCAGGCTTTAAGAACATTTGTTGTTCGACCTGTTAGTCAAATGCGTTTTGTTAAAATATACTTTTTCACTTTTTTGGTCTTTTGGAAAATGTTGTTTGTGCTGTATTTAGACCCCTCTAACAAGAAATTTGTTTTGCATGCACACGTATAAAAATTGCAGTTTTTATCCAACGCAATCATAGGTCTGAACGTTGTTTTCAATTTAGACTTGTTTATATTTTTTTGTTTGGGCTTGTATTATATTTGCCATAAGGTTTATATAATCCGTTCATCCTATTTTGACTCCTCAAAATTCAAGAGTCTATCCTAAATTGAGGTAAATTGTTGGGCTTTCCGAATACCTTTTCGATTCCTAACATCACTGAAGAGACATTATTTGTCGAAATCCGGATATGGTGTACAAAAACCTTTGCACCTTTTGTTTGCGGTATATCATCTTCTCCGCAAGTTTATTGTTTTCTGTTTAGTATTTAATTTAAAATTAAGATCCATTTATTACATCGGTGATCCGTTAATTTGGCAATCGCCAATGGCAGTCAGCAGGGTTTAAGAACATTTGTTGTTCGACCTGTTAGTCAAATGCGTTTTGTTAAAATATACTTTTTCACTTTTTTTGTCTTTTGGAAAATGTTGTTTGTGCTGTATTTAGACCCCTCTAACAAAAAAATTGTTTTGCATGCACACGTATAAAAATTGCGGTTTTTATCCAACGCAATCATAGGTTTGAACGTTGTTTTCAATTTAGACTTGTTTATATTTTTTCGTTTGGGCTTGTATTATATTTGCCGTAGGGTTTATATAATCCGTTCATCCTATTTTGACTCCTCAAAATTCAAGAGTCTATTCTAAATTGAGGTAAATTGTTGGGCTTTCCAAATACCTTTTCGATTCCTAACATCACTGAAGAGACATTATTTGTCGAAATCCGGATATGGTGTACAAAAACCTTTGCACCTTTTGTTTGCGGTATATCATCTTCTCCGCAAGTTTATTGTTTTCTGTCTAGTATTAAATTTAAAATAAAGATCCATTTATTACATCGGTGATCCGTTTATTTGGCAATCGCCAATGGCAGTCAGCAGGCTTTAAGAACAGTTGTTGTTCGACCTGTTAGTCAAATGCGTTTTGTTAAAATATACTTTTTCACTTTTTTGGTCTTTTGGAAAATGTTGTTTGTGCTGTATTTAGACCCCTCTAACAAAAAAATTGTTTTGCATGCACACGTATAAAAATTGCAGTTTTTATCCAACGCAATCATAGGTTTGAACGTTGTTTTCAATTTAGACTTGTTTATATTTTTTTGTTTGGGCTTGTATTATATTTGCCATAAGGTTTATATAATCCGTTCATCCTATTTTGACTCCTCAAAATTCAAGAGTCTATCCTAAATTGAGGTAAATTGTTGGGCTTTCCGAATACCTTTTCGATTCCTAACATCACTGAAAAGACATTATTTGTCGAAATCCGGATATGGTGTACAAAAACCTTTGCACCTTTTGTTTGCGGTATATCATCTTCTCCGCAAGTTTATTGTTTTCTGTTTAGTATTAAATTTAAAATTAAGATCCATTTATTACATCGGTGATCCGTTTATTTGGCAATCGCCAATGGCAGTCAGCAGGGTTTAAGAACATTTGTTGTTCGACCTGTTAGTCAAATGCGTTTTGTTAAAATATACTTTTTCACTTTTTTGGTCTTTTGGAAAATGTTGTTTGTGCTGTATTTAGACCCCTCTAACAAAAAAATTGTTTTGCATGCACACGTATAAAAATTGAGGTTGTTATCCAACGCAATCATAGGTTTGAACGTTGTTTTCAATTTAGACTTGTTTATATTTTTTCGTTTGGGCTTGTATTATATTTGCCGTAGGGTTTATATAATCCGTTCATCCTATTTTGACTCCTCAAAATTCAAGAGTCTATCCTAAATTGAGGTAAATTGTTGGGCTTTCCAAATACCTTTTCGATTCCTAACATCACTGAAGAGACATTATTTGTCGAAATCCGGATATGGTGTACAAAAACCTTTGCACCTGTTGTTTGCGGTATATCATCTTCTCCGCAAGTTTATTGTTTTCTGTCTAGTATTAAATTTAAAATAAAGATCCATTTATTACTTCGGTGATCCGTTTATTTGGCAATCGCCAATGGCAGTCAGCAGGCTTTAAGAACATTTGTTGTTCGACCTGTTAGTCAAATGCGTTTTGTTAAAATATACTTTTTCACTCTCTTGGTCTTTTGGAAAATGTTGTTTGTGCTGTATTTAGACCCCTCTAACAAAAAATTTGTTTTGCATGCCCACGTATAAAAATTGCAGTTTTTATCCAACGCAATCATAGGTTTAAACGTTGTTTTCAATTTAGACTTGTTTATATTTTTTTGTTTGGGCTTGTATTATATTTGCCTTACGGTTTATATAATCCGTTCATCCTATTTTGACTCCTCAAAATTCAAGAGTCTATCCTAAATTGAGGTAAATTGTTGGGCTTTCCAAATACCTTTTCGATTCCTAACATCACTGAAGAGACATTATTTGTCGAAATCCGGATATGGTGTACAAAAACCTTTGCACCTTTTGTTTGCGGTATATCATCTTCTCCGCAAGTTTATTGTTTTCTGTTTAGTAGTAAATTTAAAATTAAGATCCATTTATTACATCGGTGATCCGTTTATTTGGCAATCGCCAATGGCAGTCAGCAGGCTTTAAGAACATTTGTTGTTCGACCTGTTAGTCAAATGCGTTTTGTTAAAATATACTTTTTCACTTTTTTGGTCTTTTGGAAAATGTTGTTTGTGCTGTATTTAGACCCCTCTAACAAGAAATTTGTTTTGCATGCACACGTATAAAAATTGCAGTTTTTATCCAACGCAATCATAGGTTTGAACGTTGTTTTCAATTTAGACTTGTTTATATTTTTTTGTTTGGGCTTGTATTATATTTGCCATAAGGTTTATATAATCCGTTCATCCTATTTTGACTCCTCAAAATTCAAGAGTCTATCCTAAATTGAGGTAAATTGTTGGGCTTTCCGAATACCTTTTCGATTCCTAACATCACTGAAAAGACATTATTTGTCGAAATCCGGATATGGTGTACAAAAACCTTTGCACCTTTTGTTTGCGGTATATCATCTTCTCCGCAAGTTTATTGTTTTCTGTTTAGTATTAAATTTAAAATTAAGATCCATTTATTACATCGGTGATCCGTTTATTTGGCAATCGCCAATGGCAGTCAGCAGGGTTTAAGAACATTTGTTGTTCGACCTGTTAGTCAAATGCGTTTTGTTAAAATATACTTTTTCACTCTTTTGGTCTTTTGGAAAATGTTGTTTGTGCTGTATTTAGACCCCTCTAACAAAAAATTTGTTTTGCATGCCCACGTATAAAAATTGCAGTTTTTATCCAACGCAATCATAGGTTTAAACGTTGTTTTCAATTTAGACTTGTTTATATTTTTTTGTTTGGGCTTGTATTATATTTGCCTTACGGTTTATATAATCCGTTCATCCTATTTTGACTCCTCAAAATTCAAGAGTCTATCCTAAATTGAGGTAAATTGTTGGGCTTTCCAAATACCTTTTCGATTCCTAACATCACTGAAGAGACATTATTTGTCGAAATCCGGATATGGTGTACAAAAACCTTTGCACCTTTTGTTTGCGGTATATCATCTTCTCCGCAAGTTTATTGTTTTCTGTTTAGTAGTAAATTTAAAATTAAGATCCATTTATTACATCGGTGATCCGTTTATTTGGCAATCGCCAATGGCAGTCAGCAGGCTTTAAGAACAGTTGTTGTTCGACCTGTTAGTCAAATGCGTTTTGTTAAAATATACTTTTTCACTTTTTTGGTCTTTTGGAAAATGTTGTTTGTGCTGTATTTAGACCCCTCTAACAAGAAATTTGTTTTGCATGCACACGTATAAAAATTGCAGTTTTTATCCAACGCAATCATAGGTCTGAACGTTGTTTTCAATTTAGACTTGTTTATATTTTTTTGTTTGGGCTTGTGTTATATTTGCCATAAGGTTTATATAATCCGTTCATCCTATTTTGACTCCTCAAAATTCAAGAGTCTATCCTAAATTGAGGTAAATTGTTGGGCTTTCCGAATACCTTTTCGATTCCTAACATCACTGAAGAGACATTATTTGTCGCCTTTTGTTTGCGGTATATCATCTTCTCCGCAAGTTTATTGTTTTCTGTTTAGTATTAAATTTAAAATTAAGATCCATTTATTACATCGGTGATCCGTTTATTTGGCAATCGCCAATGGCAGTCAGCAGGGTTTAAGAACATTTGTTGTTCGACCTGTTAGTCAAATGCGTTTTGTTAAAATATACTTTTTCACTTTTTTTGTCTTTTGGAAAATGTTGTTTGTGCTGTATTTAGACCCCTCTAACAAAAAAATTGTTTTGCATGCACACGTACAAAAAATTGCGGTTTTTATCCAACGCAATCATAGGTTTGAACGTTGTTTTCAATTTAGACTTGTTTATATTTTTTTGTTTGGGCTTGTGTTATATTTGCCATAAGGTTTATATAATCCGTTCATCCTATTTTGACTCCTCAAAATTCAAGAGTCTATCCTAAATTGAGGTAAATTGTTGGGCTTTCCGAATACCTTTTCGATTCCTAACATCACTGAAGAGACATTATTTGTCGCCTTTGTTTGCGGTATATCATCTTCTCCGCAAGTTTATTGTTTTCTGTTTAGTATTAAATTTAAAATTAAGATCCATTTATTACATCGGTGATCCGTTTATTTGGCAATCGCCAATGGCAGTCAGCAGGGTTTAAGAGCATTTGTTGTTCGACCTGTTAGTCAAATGCGTTTTGTTAAAATATACTTTTTCACTTTTTTGGTCTTTTGGAAAATGTTGTTTGTGCTGTATTTAGACCTCTCTAACAAAAAAAGTGTTTTGCATGCACACGTATACAAATTGCGGTTTTTATCCAACGCAATGATAGGTTTGAACGTTGTTTTCAATTTAGACTTGTTTATATTTTTTCGTTTGGGCTTGTATTATATTTGCCTTAGGGTTTATATAATCCGTTCATCCTATTTTGACTCCTCAAAATTCAAGAGTCTATCCTAAATTGAGGTAAATTGTTGGGCTTTCCAAATACCTTTTCGATTCCTAACATCACTGAAGAGACAGTATTTGTCGAAATCCGGATATGGTGTACAAAAACCTTTGCACCTTTTGTTTGCGGTATATCATCTTCTCCGCAAGTTTATTGTTTTCTGTCTAGTATTAAATTTAAAATTAAGATCCATTTATTACTTCGGTGATCCGTTTATTTGGCAATCGCAAATGGCAGTCAGCAGGCTTTAAGAACATTTGTTGTTCGACCTGCTAGTCAAATGCGTTTTGTTAAAATATACTTTTTCACTTTTTTGGTCTTTTGAAAAATGTTTGTGCTGTATTTAGACCCCTCCAACAAGAAATTTGTTTTGCATGCACACGTATAAAAATTTCGGTTTTTATCCAACGCAATCATAGGTTTGAACGTTGTTTTCAATTTAAACTTGTTTATATTTTTTTGTTTGGGCTTGTATTATATTTGCCTTACGGTTTATATAATCCGTTCATTCTATTTTGACTCCTCAAAATTCAAGAGTCTATCCTAAATTGAGGTAAATTGTTATGCTTTCCAAATACCTTTTCGATTCCTAACATCACTGAAGAGACATTATTTGTCGAAATCCGGATATGGTGTACAAAAACCTTTGCACCTTTTGTTTGCGGTATATCATTTTCTCTGCAAGTTTATTGTTTTCTGTTTAGTATTAAATTTAAAATTAAGATCCATTTATTACATCGGTGATCCGTTTATTTGGCAATCGCCAATGGCAGTCAGCACGGTTTAAGAACATTTGTTTTTCGACCTGTTAGTCAAATGCGTTATGTTAAAATATACTTTTTCACTGTTTTGCTCTTTTGGAAAATGTTGTTTGTGCTGTATTTAGACCCATCTAACAAAAAATTTGTTTTGCATGCACACGTATAAAAATTGCGGTTTTTATCCAACGCAATCATAGGTTTGAACGTTGTTTTCAATTTAGACTCGTTTATATTTTTTCGTTTGGGCTTGTATTAATTTGCCTTAGAGTTTATATAATCTGTTCATCCTATTTAACTCATCAAAATTCAAGAGTCTATCCTAAATTGAGGTACAAAAACCTTTGCACCTTTTGTTTGCGGTATATCATCTTCTCCGCAAGTTTATTGTTTTCTGTTTAGTATTAAATTTAAAATTAAGATCCATTTATTACATCGGTGATCCGTTTATTTGGAAATCGCCAATGGCAGTCAGCAGGGTTTAAGAACATTTGTTGTTCGACCTGTTAGTCAAATGCGTTTTGTTAAAATATACTTTTTCATTTTTTTGGTTTTTTGGAAAATGTTGTTTGTGCTGTATTTAGACCCCTCTAACAAGAAATTTGTTTTGCATGCACACGTATAAAAATTGCGGTTTTTATCCAACGCAATCATAGGTTTGAACGTTGTTTTCAATTTAGACTTGTTTATATTTTTTTGTTTTGGCTTGTATTATATTTGCCTTAGGGTTTATATAATCCGTTCATTCTATTTTGACTCCTCAAAATTCAAGAGTCTATCCTTAGTTGAGGTAAATTGTTGGGCTTTGCAAATACCTTTTCAATTCCTAACATCACTGAAGAGACATTATTTGTCGAAATCTGGATGTGGTGTACAAAAACCTTTGCACCTTTTGTTTGCAGTATATCATCTTCTCTGCAAGTTTATTGTTTTCTGTTTAGTATTAAATTTAAAATTAAGATCCATTTATTAGATCAGTGATCCGTTTATTTGGCAATCGCCAATGGCAGTCAGCAGGGTTTAAGAACATTTGTTGTTCGACCTGTTAGTCAAATGCGTTTTGTTAAAATATACTTTTTCACTTTTTTGGTTTTTTGGAAAATGTTGTTTGTGCTGTATTTAGACCCCTCTAACAAAAAAATTGTTTTGCATGCACACGTATAAAAAATGCGGTTTTTATCCAACGCAATCATCGGTTTGAACGTTGTTTTCAATTTAGACTTGTTTATATTTTTTTGTTTGGGCTTGTATTATATTTGCCTTACGGTTTATATAATCCGTTCATTCTATTTTGACTCCTCAAAATTCAAGAGTCTATCCTAAATTGAGGTAAATTGTTGGGCTTTCCAAATACCTTTTCGATTCCTAACATCACTGAAGAGACATTATTTGTCGAAATCCGGATGTGGTGTACAAAAACCTTTGCACCTTTTGTTTGCGGTATATCATCCTCTCCGCAAGTTTATTGTTTTCTGTATAGTATTAAATTTAAAATTAAGATCCATTTATTACATCGGTGATCCGTTTATTTGGCAATCGCCAATGGCAGTCAGCAGGATTTAAGAACATTTGTTGTTCGACCTGTTAGTCAAATGCGTTTTGTTAAAATATACTTTTTCACTTTTTTGGTCTTTTGGAAAATGTTGTTTGTGCTGTATTTAGACCCCTCTAACAAAAAAATTGTTTTGCATGCACACGTATAAAAATTGCGGTTTTTATCCAACGTAATCATAGGTTTGAACGTTGTTTTCAATTTAGACTTGTTTATATTTTTTTGTTTGGGCTTGTATTATATTTGCCTGAGGGTAAATAATCCGTTCATCCTATTTTGACTCCTCAAAATTCAAGAGTCTATCCTAAATTGAGGTAAATTGTTGGGCTTTCCGAATACCTTTTCGATTCCTAACATCACTGAAGAGACATTATTTGTCGAAATCTGGATGTGGTGTACAAAAACCTTTGCACCTTTTGTTTGCGGTATATCATCTTCTCCGCAAGTTTATTGCTTTCTGTTTAGTATTAAATTTAAAATTAAGATCCATTTATTACATCGGTGATCCGTTTATTTGGCAATCGGCAATGTCAGTCAGCAGGGTTTAAGAACATTTGTTGTTCGACCTGTTATTCAAATGCGTTTTGTTAAAATATACTTTTTCATTTTTTTTGGTCTTTTGGAAAATGTTGTTTGTGCTGTATTTAGACCCCTCTAACAAAAAAATTGTTTTGCATGCACACGTATAAAAATTTCGGTTTTTATCCAACGCAATCATAGGTTTGAACGTTGTTTTCAATTTAGACTTGTATATATATCTTTATTTCATTGTTGAAGTTGTCATGTCAGTTAAAAGGAAATTTATTTTAACAGTTAAAATTTAAAAAAGTAGAGGTTATTTGGTCAAGTATGGTTCAGACAGGTCAAGTATTGTTCAGACTTTTGGTCGAGTATGGTTAAGACTGAAAACAATAGGTAGACTATTTTCAATGTCAAAGATAAGGGTCAAGTACAGTACAG